GCCACTTTATTATATTCATTTATCACTTCCAGTAGTGATACCTTTGGGTATTTTATATACATAGTCATGTCATCTACAAATAGAGATAACTTCAAATCTTCTTTACCTATTAGAATGCCTTTTATTTTACTCTCTTTTCTGATTGGATTAGCTAAGACTTCCAACACTATGTTGAAAAGTAGTGGAGAAAGTGGACAGTCTTATCTTGTGCTAATTTTTATTGGAAACATTTTTAACTTGTTCACATTCGGTATGATTTTAGCTATGGGATTTTTATATATGCCTTTTATTATGTTGAGAAATGACCCTTCTATGCTGATTTTACTGAGAGTTTTAATTATGAAGGGGTGTTGTAATTTATCAAACAGTTTTTTGCATCTATTGTATTATCATATGATTTTTATCTTTCTGTCTATTACTTTGACGTATTACATTTATTGTTTTGCATATGTTGAACCACCCTTGCATCCTGGAACAAGTCTACTTGGTATGATGTTTAATCTTTTTTATATGTGATTGGATCCAATATGCTAGTATCTTGTTGAGAATATTTGCATCTATATTCATCAGGGATGTTGGTCTGTAATTATTCTTTTTTCATCATATCCTTATCTGGGTGTGAGGGTGATGGAAGCTTCATAAAGTGAATTTGAGAGGGTTCCTTTCTTCTGGATCTTTAGAAATCATTTGACTACAATGGGGGTTAACCCTTCTCCAGAAGTTTTGTAGAATTCAGAAGAGAAGCCTTCAGGACCTGTATTTTTCTTTGCTGGGAGGCAATTTATTCATTCTCATTGCTTGTTATGGATCAATTCAGGCTCTCTACATCTACCTGATCCATTCTTGTGAAATATGTATCCAGGAATTTGTCCATCTCATCCAGGATTTCTTGTTTATTTGCATATTTTCACTCATAGTATTCTCTAATGACATTTTTTATTTCTCTTATGTCTCTTGTAATATTGCCTATTTCATTTTAAATTTGATTTATCTGGTTCCTTTCTTCTTTTAAATTATTTTAGCTAATAATGTGTCAATTTTGTTTATCTTTTCAGAGAAACAGGTTTCAGTTTCATTTGTTTTCTGGATAGTTCATTTATTTTCTACTCATTTATTTCTGCTCAAATCTTTATCATTTCTTTTCTTCAGGCTATGTCTTTTTGTTTCAGTCTTGGTAGATTTATATGCCCAGGAATTTGTTCATCTCATACAGATTTTCTTGTTTGCTAGAATATAGTTGTTCATAGTATTCTCTAATGATGTTTGGTATTTCTATTATGTCTGTTGTAACATTGGTGGTTTCATTGCCAATTTGATTGATCTGGTTCCTTTCTCTTCTTCTTAATTAGCCTAGCTAATGGTGTGTCAATCTTGTCTATCTTTTCAAAGAACCAGCTTTGGTTCCATTCATTTTCTATATAGTTTGTTTATTTTCTATTTCATTTATTTCTACTCAAATCCTTATATTTTCTTTTCTCCTAGCATTTTTGAAATTTTTGGTTGTTGTTTTTCCAATTCCCTGATGCATGATGTTAGATTTTCTATTTGCCACCTTTCCATCTTTTTCTTATGTGCACTAATTGCTGTGAACTTCCTTCTTATGACTGCTTTTGCTGTGTCCTATAAATTATGGAAACTCATGTTCTCATTATTATTGGTTTTAATGAATCTTGACTTTAGTCTTAATTTCTTCAGTATTTGTGAAGTCATTCAGAAGTAGGTTGTTTAGTTTATATATGTTTGTGTATTTTTGAGTTTTTCTTCTGAAATTAATATCAAGTTTAATTCCATCATGGTCAGGGAAGATGCTGGATAGTCTTTATTCATTATTTTGCTTTTCTTTTCCACAGATAGGATAATCTTCATTGATCTTGAACTTTTCTCATTTTTCTCCCTGCTCATATCTGCATTGAAGCCACTTCAGTAGATTTTTTATTTAGTTAGTATTTCTCAGTCCCTAAATTATTGTTTCATTCTACTTTATAATTACTCTTTTTTGATATTCAATATACTGAGATATTATTTGCTCAATTTACTTTCATTATTTTAGATTTGCTAGAGGTTGTCTGTACACAAGGAAAGAGATAGAGAGACAAAGAGAAAGAGGTAAGAAAGAACCTCTCATGGGTATGGTCACATTGCAATCCCTTCACCTTCATTTCTCCTTTTGTGATTTTAGGCACCTAGAGTGTTTTTTGAAGTCCCCTGGTCTGGGGTTCAGTCTCAATAGTCAGGCTTACCCTCCACACTACCAGCCAGACTTCTTTCATTCTTTATCCAAGTTTTTCTATCTCTCTAATCATATTAGCTACAATCGATTTGATGATTTTGTTTAGTAATTTCAATATTTGAAATTATTCATCGACTGTTTCTACTAATTTCTTTTTTTCTGTGCTATACTCTTTCTTCTCAAAATTATTCTGTTATGAAGTAAACATTTTGTATACTATAATTATGCAAGTCTAGAATTCATATTTTTTATCTCTTCCTATATTTCATTGTTGCTATTTTGTGAGTTAAAATGGCTGTTTTTCTATGAAACTATTTGTGACAATACATATTTCTATGCATGTGTGGTGAAAGAAGTCTCTGACTCATTTTTTTTTATTGTTGTCAACTAGTAATTTGGTAGAAATATTCTTAAATTCCTAGAGCCACATGGAGTGCATTACCATACTTTGCAGGTTGGCTATATGGTGAGGCACCTTCTTAATATTTTACAAGGCCAGTATCATTTATGTTTAGCTTTTACTTTCTGCTTACCTGAAGTGCAAAGATTACTTTTATGTAGCAGATTAGGTTTTTATCAGGTCTTTACTGTTCATGTGTTTAGCCCTGAGTATGAGCATGGCCTTCTAGATACAGGATACTTGCAAACTCTTGTTTCATACCCAGTATTTTTCTCCGCAGGTTCTCTCATCTTACTATTACTTGCCCTGACTGTTTTGTTTTGCTTTAGACTCGGTGGCTAGTGTCTTTACTTCTAAATAGTTCATGAAATTCCACTTGAGAAGTCACTTCTTCCTGAGAAGCTCTTAGGCAGATGAACAGAAGCCATGCCTTCCTTGGGACACTCATTCAGGGAACCAACTGACAGGTCACACAAACAACCACAATATGTAAGAATAAGGTCTCTGGAACTAACAATCTGACTGAAATGGCAGGGTGCATTCTCCACAAATAATACCAGGTTATGAAGTGAGAAAAGCAATTGGTTTTATTATAATGCTATAGCATTCTCTTCCAAATATTAGTCAACAACTTTCTTCATGAGATTCTTCCCTAGCTTTTAGAAGTTTTTTTTTTTAATTAGATTCCAGAGATATATTAAGGATGAATATTGCAATTGGCCAACAAGTTCAATGCTTTTATGGAATAATAGAATTTTTGGAATTTCATATTTCAAAATATTTGTAAATATTGTATTATTGGAATGTAGCCTTGTCCGTTCTTCACCACATTGCTTATGGCTGATTTTTTAGTATCACGGTAAAGTTGAGTAATGGCAATAAGTTTATAAAGATTATCAAACCTAATAATATCCAAAATAAGCAAATTAGTGATTGCCTACATCTTGAAGGGTATAAAAAGTATGACTGGAATAATAAAGGCAGAAATGTACAGGATTTCTTTCTTGAGAGATAAAAATATCATTTAAACTGATAGCTGTGGTTAAGTGCATTTCTATAAACATACCCTCAAGCACTAAATCATTGGTGAATATTACAGTATGTGTATTTATGTCAACAAACTTTTAAAAAAATAAAATTTCCTGAACCACAATATCCAAAAAAATACTGATTTAGCTTTATCTTAACTTCATGTCTTTTTATGTAGAATACATTTCCAATAGACTTTCACATGCCACAATTTTGACATTTTTTTCTTTTCTGTTTTAATTAAATTTATTTATTTACATTCATTCACTGTACATCATTACAGCATAAAAAGTGAGATTTTCCATGCAGAGTACACCGTATATTGGCTCAATCAAGTGCATCAACATACATGTTATCATCAACAAATAATTTTCCATTTCTTGTTTCCTGTATGTTTTGCTTTTTTTCCCCATCCTTGACTCCCTATCTCTTACCCTCTGCCATCTCCCACTCTCCTCCCACACTGTCTCTGGTATCTAGGTTTGCTTTCTATACTTCCCCCACACACACACATTTTATGGAGTTACTAAAGATCTTAGTTAATCTAAATATTTTCACAGCAAGCACAACTGATATATACATTTCCATGAACACAAGTCCAACTTTAGGCATAAGCCTCAGTGAATAGAACGAACATCTTATAAACTAGAACTTAGCTGGGGCGATATATCTTACTTCAGTCATTGAATAGGTATTTTTAATGCTTTTTTTTTAATTTCAAGAAAAACAGTTTTAGTTCTTTTTTTTTCTTTACCTTATTTTTAAATTAATTTTCATTTTTTCCCTAAAGTTA